TTCTCAATACTTAGGTCACGTTTGCAAAAGTCCTCACACAGTGAGCACAACAGAAGTCTATGTGGGCTAAACTGAGGACCAGTTATCATTGTTTTGGCACAAAATGCATTCAATGACTACATCTCTCAAATTTCATGAATTATTTTCTCACTCAGACACAACAACTGCCAAAAATCTTTGTACGTACAGGACATTTTGCATGAGCTTACATACTGTTTTCAAAACTGTTAAACTTATGGTCAAAACAATAACACAATGCAAAACTTAATAAGACAGCAAAATCCAACAGCAATATTTTATTGAAACATATTTTAAATCTAAAAATGCAGTTTAACCAGCCACAGCTGATCCTCATTGTAGATGAACATCTACACAGGTGTTACTCCTTCAATTTTTCAACTCCTTCAATTCTGGCAGCCAGAAGATTCTTTCCTAGGTGTGTTGCCCAAGATGACATAAGATGTGATGTGGATGAGAACCTGTGGCCAAATGGAGAAGACCGAGTAGATTAGCATTACTATTGTATGTGTATCAGTGGATGGTGTGTATACAAATTCTTGTATTTTGGGATTACTTAGTGCAAAAAAATAAAAATACATAAACAAATATTAACGAATTCTGCATGATGTCTGATTCATTCCAGTAACATATATTGAAATTATAAACAGAGATGTGTCCTTGTTTTACACAGGAAACACTGTGTAATGCTACATGTTGTTAGTGTTTTTCAGGTCATTGTTTTGTGGGTGACAAAGTGTGTTTGTCGGCTGTCAACCTTTGCTAGTGTTCTGGAAGAATGAGTTTATTTGAGACCTGAATGAAGTGTTTTGGTAGTTGTAGTGCATTTTGAATGTGAAATGAACTGCTTTGCCAAGCTGACGGTCAGTTAGGAGGATTGTGTGAAGAGTTTTGCAAAAGTGACCTAAGTATTGAGACATGTGTCCTAGCGGCTGTAAAAAACTGTAATCCCACAGAGGACAAGCTCCCATTGTTCCAGCAGCAAAGGAGCCAGGCAGCAATAAACACACAGATGGAACATTCATGTCCAAAAACAGAAGAAAATATAAAAATATACACGTAGAAGAAATATATAGATAAAAATATATGTCCATGTGCTCCCACGGAGGGCTGGGATGTTAACAGCAGCAGGTTTTCAGCTTTGAGAGATTTTTGTCTTATAAACCGAGTTTCTGTGCACGATGGATTATTTTCTTATATTAAAGATTTGAATGTAAAAGAATTTTCTGGATCCGTGATGAGAAGAGACGACTGTTCTCAGGAATCATCAGGGGAACCACAGCCTGTCATCATCATCCTCAGTGAGTCTGAACCACTGTACGCGCACACATTCCTTATAATGTTGACACACACACACACACACACTGGTTTAGCCTCCCCTCGCTGTGATGAAGACCCTCCCCCTCATGCAAACACACGCCTCCATAAAAACAGCACACATGTCTGATCTTACTGTAAAGCACTTTGTGATTTTTATCTGTGAAATGTGCTATATAAATAAATTTTACTTACTTACTACAAATATTTCCTTCATCTCAGAAATGTGAAGCAAGAATTTCAAATAAAATGCAACAGAAATAAAAAACCAAGAAACTCAGTCAGAAAAGGATTTGGTCAGATTCCAGGTCTCAGGCTGTAATCACAGCGCGGGGGGGCAGGAAGTCTATGAATGTGTGTGCGCTGCTTGAAACAGAAAGTGCAGCAGCACAAAGAGGAGATTAAAGGATAACAGCATGTTTGTGCGGCTCTGACTCACTCGGTCTCCCACGCGCTCCACAGCCTTTCCAAGGACCAGCGTTTCTCCTGAAGTGACGTCAGATTCCTGCTGCGCGCAGATTTCATGTCATCCTGAAACACACATCGGGATTTTCTGGCCTCGCTCCACCAGCTTCCCGACTCCCGAACACATGTTTATCACATCTCTTTATCTCATTCTCAGCACACTGCAGCTTTCAGAACAGTTCAAACGTGTTTCAGCACTAAAGCCATTAAAACTTTTCACTCAAATCACTTCAACTGTGATCAATTCAAAGTTTTCATCCCCGTTTTAAAACTTGGACAGCAGATCTGATCCACGTTCACTGGCTGTGAAACCACTTCTGTGGGTTTGCATCATAATCGGGAAGAAAGATGACTGAACATGGTTGTTGATCTGAGGGTTTCACAAACTGCTGACTTGTTGGGACATGACAGAGAAAGCGTTTCTCACACAGCGATTTGTTTCCCAGCACCGAGCTGAATCTCAGCCACCAAGCAGCAGACCCGAAGAAAAACGTGGGTCAGCCCGGTCCCAGAAAACTGTACCTGATAAAGTGATTTGTAGCATAGGCATGGGTGTGACACGCACCTGAGAACGTGTCGAACTGAAGGACGCGTCGCTGTGGACTGAGCATGCTCACTCTGCACAGGCAGGAGGTAACGCAGTACAAATACTGTGTTTCTCTACTTAAGTAGAATTTTCAGGCATCTGTACTTTACTTGAATATTTATTTTTTAGGAACATTTTACTTCAAAACTTGGTTTGATTCGAGGGGAGCTAATATTTCGTCACAGCCTCCTGTTCTGTATAATCTCCATATTCAGGGCTGAACGTGAGCACGTTCGGCACCACGCTGCAACGACTGCAGGACTGGAAGCTGCAGTTAATGGATTAATAATAATGGATTGGATTTATATAGCACTTTACAAGGCAGCCAAAGCGCTTTACAATGCCACTATTCATTCACTCTCACGTTCACACACGGGTGGAGGCAGCTACGGTTGTAGCCACAGCTGCCCTGGGGCAGACTGACAGAAGCCAGGCTGCCATATCGCACCATCGGCCCCTCTGGCAACACCAGTAGGGTAAAGTATCTTGCCAAAGGACACAACGACCAGGACAGAGAGCCTGGGGATCGAACCGGCGACCTTCCGGTTACAGATGCGCTTGCGGTACATCAGCATCCAGCTAGCCCGACTGAAGAGGAGCGAGCGCAAAGGCAGTGACGTGGGGAAATGTGCAAGGCAGCTCTACAAACATCAGCAAACACACAAACTGTTGTGTGCAGTTTGTCTCACAGTGTGTTGCAGATAAAGTCCAGCTGCTGTGTGTGACAGGGAGAGGAGAGACAGAGAGCTAAGTTCACTCAGGGATGGAGACAGGAGAATAAACAGTGTCAGTGTAGAGACATCAGCCAGGACACTCATCAAACATCTGCTCACATCTGTTGTGTACAAGCACAGAGAGCAGCAGGTCAGCTGATCACAGCCTGCACACCAAGGAAACGTAGTGCAGCTCTCAGTAGAAATGACTGAGTTTGATTGGTGTGGGAGCATCGCAGTGTCACATTCCCCCCCCCACACACACGGTGGATTCAGGAGGTGGTGTGTAACCCTGACTGAGCTCATGTTCCTCTTTAGAGTCACCCTCCACATGCAGGCAACAGGAAGTAGATTCATCTATATCCTGTGTGCTGATATTATTGTATTACAACATTCAGAGAACACAAGGTTCAGTTAGCTTTGCACAAACAGAGCTGTTCTTTGTACTCTGAGTACTCTTCAGGTAACGTTTCAATTTTACTCGAGTACAGACTCAGTACTTCAGCTTTAATGGAGTAGTTTTAAACAGGAGTATTTGTATTAATACTTGAGTGCAGAACGTGTACTTTTACCACCTCGTTCACTCATCAACTTTGAAGGACATCAACACAACAATACACACAAATCTGTGTGTGTGTGTGTGTGCGTGTGTGTGTGTGTGTGTGTGTGTGTGTCTGTGTGTGTGTGTGTGTGTGTGTGTGTCTGTGTGTGTCTGTGTGTGTGTGTGTGTGCGTCTGTGTGTGTGTGTGTGTGTCTGTGTCTGTGTGTGTGTGTGTGTGTGTGTCTGTGTGTGTGTGTGTGTGTGTGTGTCTGTGTCTGTGTGTGTGTGTCTGTGTGTGTGTCTGTGAGTCTGTGTGTGTGTCTGTGTGTCTGTGTGTGTGTGTCTGTGTGTCTGTGTGTGTGTGTGTGTCTGTGTGTGTGTGTCTGTGTGTGTGTGTCTGTGTGTGTGTCTGTGTGTGTGTGTCTGTGTGCGTCTGTGTGTGTGCGTCTGTGTGTGTGTGTCTGTGTGTGTGTGTGTGCGTCTGTGTGTGTGTGTGTGTGTCTGTGTGCGTCTGTGTGTGTGCGTCTGTGTGTGTGTGTGTCTGTGTGGTCTGTGTGTCTGTGTCTGTGTCTGTGTGTCTGTGTGTGTGTCTGTGTGTCTGTGTGTCTGTGTGTCTGTGTGTGTGTCTGTGTGTGTGTCTGTGTGCGTCTGTGTGTGTGCGTCTGTGTGTGTGTGTGTCTGTGTGTGTTTCTCTGTGTGTGTGTGTGCGTCTGTGTGTGTGTGTGTCTGTGTGTGTGTGTGTCTGTGTGTGTGTCTGTGTGTGTGTCTGTGTGTCTGTGTGTGTGTGTGTCTGTGTGTGTGTCTGTGTGTGTGTCTGTGTGTCTGTCTGTGTGTGCGTCTGTGTGTGTGTGTGTCTGTGTGTGTGTCTCTGTGTGTGTGTGTGTGTCTGTGTGTGTGTGTGTCTGTGTGTCTGCGTGTGTGTGTGTGTCTGTGTGTGTGTCTGTGTGTGCGTCTCTGTGTGTGTGTCTGTGTGTGTGTGTTTTGGACACAAACAGGAAACAGACTTGTGTGTTTCTCTTCACAAACTTTATTTTAGCTTCATTTTGTCTTCAGTGCTCAAACTTTCACTTCCCAGTTCAGAATCAAACTTTCCAGTTTCCCTCTGACGCCGCGCTTCTCCTTCAGCGGCGGCGCGACTCCTCGTCTTCCTCGCCAGCTTATCTCTGTCCCTCGTTTCACTTTCGTCTGTCCCGCGCTCGCAGCCAGCTGCCTCATCGGCACATCTGTCCGGTATCAGTTAACGTGCTCACGCCGTCGACGGCTCACGGCGCTCTCGTGGCTCCGACTGCTCCGTCTCTACGTCAGAGAGGAGCAGCGAGTCGAGGAGAGCCCGCTGTGATTGGTGGGCTCAGAGTGGCATAATAAATAAAAACAGGAATAAATAAATAAATAGAAAACGTCTCTACATCAGCTCCTCGCCATCACGGCGGCTCAGTCCTGCGTCTGCAGCGTCCCGGCCAGGCGGTCCCAGTGGGTGAAGTACGGCGCAAAGTTGCACTTGGACTTGAGGTGGTGAAGGTCGTGGTGGCGCGCCCCGCCGTACAGCCCAGCGGCACCAGGCGGTGCGTGGCCCACGGCAGGTCGTAGCCGCAGTGATCCTCCACCGACAGCCAGATGTTGACCACGAAGAAGGCGAGCTCGGTGAGCGGGTGGCAGCCCAGCAGGAGGGGGTTGGCGGCAGCGAACAGGCCCAGGCTGAGGGTCTCCCAGGTGCCCGAGTACTCGGCGGTGAGGGCGGAGGTGGAGGTGTAGGTGTGGTGCACCTGCAGGAGGAGGAGAGAGAGCGTGAGGTGGAGGAAGAACAAAGGCGTGACACCGTCACCACCGCCATCGTCCTCGGGGACTCACCTTGTGGAAGGTGCGGTAGAGCCAGGGCACTCCGTGGTGCAGCAGGTGCCAGGCGAAGCTCTGGAAGTCAAAGAGCAGCAGGCACACGAGCACCTGAGCCAGCAGGCGCGGAAGGGGCGGGGCCTCCTCGGTCAGGTGCACCGGCCTCAGGTACCAGTGCAGCACGGTGAGCGGGAAGATGAAGACCAGGTGGTTGTAGAGCGTCAGAGCCAGGCAGCGCCGCACCGACGACCAGCTGACGGAGCTCTGAGGCTGCAGCTTGTACCTGAGCACCCACGCCCACCTGGTGGACAGCGCGTCCAGCAGCAGGAAGGGCAGGCAGAAGGACAGGTAGACGCAGAGCGAGAAGAGCACGGGGAAGAAGGGCGAGCGCAGGAGGGGGGCGTGTCCCAGCACGAAGGTCCACAGAGGCTGCAGCAGCATCGCCATCCTTCAGTTTGTCTCACAGTCGGAGCTCTGCTCGCCTTCATCACCACTGCTCCATTTAATCAGGCAGCAGGCCCCGCCCACACAGCGTCAGCGGCAAGAACCCGCCCTGCCGTCCTTATTGGGATGTTTCCTACTGCCGGAGGGAAAATGGAAAACCCTCACTCCCACACACAAACGGCTGCTTGTCTTTGAACGTGTTATTGTCGGGGAGACTTCACACAAGTTTGTCAAAGCCACGCCCCCCGGTGCGTTCCTCCTCAAAGGTGATTAAAATCATCAAAGAGGTTTTAAAACATGTTTTTCTGCTTATCTTGCGTGTTCAGCTCTTTTAGATTAAAGATGAGCTGAAGAATAAAATCTGAATTCCAAAACATCTCGAGGATTCCTGTTGAAATGTTACCGTGGTGACTGTGACCCCCTCGCACTAATGACACGTGAGTGCTCGAAGAAGGGGTCAGGTGTAGAGAGTGCATGAGGTGAGGTGCTGTTCTAAATAAAGTTTCATCTTCCTCTCTGAAAGAATCAACGTGAAGCCTCACTGAAGTCCAGCCAGCCTGTACCTGTGCTGGGCGGAGCCTCAGAGGTGCCAGGTGTCCTCAGACTGAGCTGATGTTTCTCTTCGTGTCAGAAGCGGTGATGGTGGGAAGTGCTGGTCTGAGCATGCTCACTGACTCGCTGTTAGAGATGTGCTGAAGAGTCACAGCTTCACACTCAGCCCTACGGTGACACCTGCTGGTGCTTCAGCCTCACTGCAGCGTGAGAGTTTCAGGTGTGGACGTGGAGCTCTGAACCACAGCTGCTGTTCAGCTGGGTCTGTTCCAGATGTTCCAGCTGTGCTTCACGTTCCTCTGCTGCAGTAAATGAGTGAATCTGTGATGGAATCTGTGGTATCGCAACAAATTAGTAGGTTATATAAATATATGAGTATTATTCATAGATACCTACATCCTAAGTTCCTGTTATTCTTCTGAAAGAAACGGAATGAATGTGTTGTTACAATGGTAATGCCAGGAGAGGCAGTATTAGTTCTGTGTTACATTTAATGTGTAAGGAAGTGGAAGAAGAGTGTGTCCTGCAGGAGGCAGTAGAAAATGGATGCTCATGTTCTGTACATGCCCTGAAAGAAAGGTTCAGTAAACCAGTGCAACGATGCTCCGGTGTAAGGCTCAGTTATTGTATTTTTATTTTTTGAAGATGCAACAGAATCATTCATTAACTTTATTTAAACGTCTGTTTCATTAAATGGTGTGCAGACGCCACAGACAGGTAAGGTACACCTGAGCAGCGAGCAGCAGGTAAATACGAGGAAAGCTGCAGACACAGTTGTGTGTGCAGAGAAAAGCACGAAGCCTTTCTGAAAGACTCATTACGACCTCGTTAGACAGGAATAATGTTTACTGGCATATTCATAAAGTGCTCCTCTTCATCAAGTTTACACTGCAAAACACAGATGGTTACACTGAGCAAAGAAGTTCTTACTTTAAACAACTAAAAAACAAACAAAAACATTTCTAACTCTAAGCACAGTCAGTGGCTAATCCACTGACTGATCCCAGATCAGTCAGTTACAGATTACCAGCTGATCAGTGAGCTCGAGGCTCTCAGCTGGTTCACAGAAACCAAACTTGGCGTCTCATCGTGCTGCCTTCAAGGACCCCTCTGAAGTCACGTTTCACATCACGTCCACGTGCCTCTTTTTAAAAAAATGAACTTTATGTGTCAACCACAGTAGTTTTTAACCACGTGATCCTTCCTTATATGATGACATTTGTTCCTCCGTATGAACTGAGATTTAACTAGTTTTGCAGACATGTGCAGAGACACAGATTAGTGTGGACGCAGCAGAAGTGTCCCAAACACAGTTCTGTCCCTTGCAGCCACCTGTTTGTGTTCATGGACCTGCAGGCAGAGGTCTGTGATTACAGAGCACGTGACTCCTTTCCAGATGTTCCACCTGTGCTTCACGTAACTTTATGTAAACCTGTCCATGTGAACAAGGCTGTGCAGCTTACCTGTGAGCCACCTTCACACGTCATCACATCATTTAGGACGCTTGGCGCTGCAGTTCACCTGAAATAAGCTACGTTAGAGTGGCTGAGCATGGAGTCAGAGGGGACACGCTGGGAGTGTCACCCGTGGAAATGACTGTGTAACACGAACAAGTGTGAGTCTGCGTCACCCGGCTGAGCTCTCTGCTGTACATGCATTCAGAGAGGACCGTGAAGGCCTCACGTTAAGTTTCCGAGCGCACGGACCGGTCACTCGGTGCTCACGCTCTCCCTCATCCTCATCATCACTTTGCTCCCTCTGAGGAGGAAGAGGGCAACATGAGGTGAGTGTTTGAGACTTCCGATCAGTCTGATAATCGATCACTTATTGGAAAGTGAAGTCAGCTCAGGGCCTCCCTTTAACCTTTAACCCAGTCGATCTGGATCCAGGGTGTAATCAGATTACTGTGAAATCTGCAGAGAGCAGAGTAAAGCCCACGCAGGGGATTCTGTTCACCTGGGCGAAACGTTTCGTCATCCAGGTGACTTCTTCAGTCTTGTTTCCTCACCTGGATGACCGAGAATGCGTGAACCGCGGCGATGCGAAGTCACCGTCCGGCCCGCCGCACCTACGACGTTGCTTTTGTTTGCTTTTCTCCGTCTCTGTTTCAAATAGGCCGCAAGTCGGTTGTGAACATGTCTGTGATCGTTGTCTCTGTCAGTCGGTGTCACCAACTGTTTCTCAGTAAATGTGTAGCGACAACATTCACAGTACTCAAACCTGAAGTATTACTCTAGTAAAATGCGTCAAAGCTGCCAGGAGCAGAACGTGAGGCCACAGAGAGGAGAGGAAGAGGCTGCAGGCAGGGTGGAGGCGAGACCTGCTGTGATGGGTGGAGACGGTGAAGATGTTCAGATATAATGGCACGAGGCCGTCAAAGGGACAGCTCAGAGTCAGAGGTGGCGTAGTGAAGGAGGACATGCAGAGGAGGATGATGGGATAGAAGATGGAGGAAGATGATGTGCTCCAGAGACCGCGAAAGAAGAAGGTAGTAACACCGATAGTATGGTCACATTAACAGTTTTTAACAGTGAAGCTGTACTTCCAGAGGGTGGTGGTGACGTCCTCCTCCACGCGCTCATCTTTGGACAGTAATGCGATCAAAGCCGCTGTGTTCATCATACAGGTGACGCAGCGGCCTGCAGACTCACCTGAGTGTTGGTCTGAAGGTGCTACTCAGACACAAGGTAACAGATTTAAACACATACATGTAACTCAGTGTGTCTGATGTGTAATGTACACCTAGCTTCAGTGTCATATCACATGTGCGGCTTTCATTTTGAAGTATTATTTTACAACGTCATCTTGGGCCCCTCCCAGCTGTAGTGGGAGGGGCCGTGAGCTCAGGAGGAAGCCTGTGTGAGCTGCTGGCAGCTCGTTACCCATCCTCCTGCTGACAGAGAGGAGACTTTCCTTCTTGGGTCTGAGAGGGGACGGTCGTCCAGAAATTCTCATTTAAACCATGATAATAAATATTTTAGTTCTTTGTTAGAGTTGAGTTAAGCTTCCTGTAGCTCAAACATGCACAGGAAATGATGATGATGTCACTCCGAAATGACAACACAGGCACGGCTTCTTCAAGACGGGCGCTTCGCTGCATTTATTGAAAACTACAAACATAAAACACGAAGGCTTTATGGTAAATGGTCTGTATTTATATAGCGCTTTACTCGTCCCTAAGGACCCCAAAGCGCTTTACACATCCAGTCATCCACACATTCACACACTGGTGATGGCAGCTACATTGTAGCCACAGCCACCCTGGGGCGCACTGACAGAGGCGAGGCTGCCGGACACTGGCGCCACCGGGCCCTCTGACCACCACCAGTAGGCAACGGGTGAAGTGTCTCGCCCAAGGACACAATGAACCGGCAACCTTCCGATTACAAGGTGTACTCCCAACTCTTGAGCCACGATCGCCCCGCTTTAAGTGCTTCAGTCTATCAAAAGTAACACTTGTGCTTTAACAACCAGGCCCCCGCAGATAGCTCGCTGAACTCCTTAGCGTGATTATTAAACGTGGGCTCACAGCCTCTGTCATCACGCCCAAACCTCGCGATAATAGCGGTGTAACAAAACTTGTTCTTTGTGACAAGTTAAACACACCTTTACAATATTGTCCACAGAAATGTACAAGCAAGAACATTTTAACTGCTGGAACCATCTATTAAACTTCTTTATACATAAGCCATCTCTGTGACACTTACAGATGATGTCCTGAAGTCGTTAAGGACATACATGCTGCTGTCCAGACAAAGGTGTGAGATATTGGACATGGATGGTAAAGTGCTGTTGTTAGGGCTTCTGGTGTGGCGGTAGAGCAGTACGGTCGCATAAGTACAGAGCTCCCGCAAGCCAAGTAGATAAACTCCGCTAAAACACAAATTAAAGCGTGAGACAAAACAACTTTGGAAGATGAGCAGAGGGACAACAAAGCAAAGAATAAAAGAACTACGGACACCCAAGGTAAAGACATAAAACACCCGAACAACGAGGACAAGCTAGCACCCGAAGCTAATATGGCCGCGTTTCAAAACGGACTGGATTGTATTAGCAAACAAATTCAATCACTCCAAAACGAATTGAAATCAGACTTCACGACATTCGAAGAAGAAATTAAATGAGAAATGAGACACGAACTGTCTAAATTCAAAGAAGACATCGACCAGCAGTTTCAGAACATGACTACAGAACTTAAAGAACAAGAAGGGAAATTAGAAGCTGCGCTGACCCGCACGGAAGACGTGGAGCCACGAGGCCAATCAAACCCTGACAGAACTAATGACAGAACAAATCGATGGTGACCAAATTGGATGACTTGGACCTGCGATCCAGACGTAACAATCTGCGGATCTACGGGACACAAGAGGGAGCCGAATCTAAGGCAGAATCGCTGACCCAGTTTCTGGAAGTCTGGCTCAGGGAGGAGCTTAATATTAACATCAACCTCCAGATTCAACGCGCACACCGAGCGTTAACCTCAAAACCGGCAGCCGGTCTCCCCCCCGAGGTCAGTCGTTGTCAATTTCCAACAATTCACAACCAAAGAGATGGAAGTTAAACAGGCATGGGAAAAGAAAATAGTCACTCTGGACGGAAGCAGGGTTTATTTTGACCACGACTATTCGGCGAGAATGGTGCAAGAACGTAAAGCGTACGTGAATATCAAAAAGATATTAAAGAAAGAAGGCATCCGCTTCCAGACTCCTCTCAGCAAGATGCGAGTCCACTGGCCAAATGGAGTGAAAACGTGTGGCAAAGCAGAGGAGGCTGCTAACGACCTGCAAGCGAGAGGATACAACGTGGAAAACGGGATAAACAGCCGGGAGAGAGAGAGCACCGAGGGACAGGTTTAGTTAAAAACAGACAGGCACAAGACAATATCAGAAGGACACATCATACACCAAATACATAAAGACAAGATGCTGGCTGCGTTGATGAGTTTAGACACAGAAAAAGCCTTCGATCGAGTCAGCTGGGACTTCCTGTACCTAACCATGGCAAAGCTCGGGTTCACTACAAAATCAATCCAATCTCTCTAAATGGTAAATGGCCTGTATTTATATATAGCGCTTTTCTAGTCCCTAAGGACCCCAAAGCGCTTTACATATCCAGTCATCCACACATTCACACACTGGTGATGGCAAGCTACATTGTAGCCACAGCCACCCTGGGGCGCACTGACAGAGGCGAGGCTGCCGGACACTGGCGCCACCGGGCCCTCTGACCACCACCAGTAGGCAACGGGTGAAGTGTCTTGCCCAAGGACACAACGACCGAGACTGTCCAAGCCGGGGCTCGAACCGGCAACCTTCCGATTACAAGGCGAACGCCCAACTCTTGAGCCACGATCGCCCCTCTCTATGACAAACCGACTGCAAGAATAAACGTTAACGGCTCATTGACAAAGACGTTCCAACTAGAGAGGAACTAGACAGGGTTGCTGTTTAAGTCCAACCTTATTTGCCTTGTATATTCAGCCATTGGCACAAATGATTAGACAAGACGCCCTAATAACAGGAATAGAAATCAATAGACAAGAGCATGTAATTAGTCTATTTGCTGATGACGTGTTGATAGCCCTCAAAAACCCCACAAACTCTTTTATGCAGCTCACAGAAATGTTAGGAAAATTTGTTACGCTTTCTGGCTACAAAGTAAATATACTTAAAACTCAAGTTCTAATGTTTAATTGTATACCAACTCAAAATCTTAAGGAATGGGAAATAAAGTGGGAGGCAAAAACCCTTAAATATTTAGGTATAAATATAACCAAAGACTATGACAAACTATATCAAAGTAACTATGGACATATAAATAACAGGATAAGGCAGGATATGGAAAGATGGAATACGTATCCGTTAGGATTTAGTGACAGGATAAATGTGATAAAGATGAATATCTTACCACGATTGCTATATTTATTCCTCTCTCTTCCGATAAGCATACCTCAAACCCAATTCTCAGAATGGGATAAGTATATATCTAGATTTGTCTGGGAAGGCAAGCGGCCAAGGGTACGATACACTACTTTACAGCTTACTAAGGAGAAAGGAGGAATGTCGCTTCCTAATTTAAAAGAATATTTTCGTGCTGCACAGATACGCCAGATAACATATTGGTGTAGTGATGATGACGGGGCTCGCTGGAAGGATGTGGAGCTCTCCACACTCAATGTCCCAATCCAAACAAACATGGGTATAAAAAAGATCCCTGAATACATAACTAAAGACCAAGATAGGAACCCGATAATATCCTTTACATTAAATGTATGGTATGACACAGTAAAGGAGTTGAGAATTGGCAAAGAGCTTGGTTTGCTAAAATGGATAGCCTTCGATGAAGAATTTAGACCAGGAAAATTGGATCTTGGTTTTAAAAATTGGAATGAAAAGGGAATCACAGCAATTTGTTTATTAATCAAAAAAGGAGAAATTAAAAGTTTTGAAGAATTAAAACTTAAAAAACAAGGATTTTTACAGATACTTACAGGTGAGCGATTACTTTAATAAAAACATAAAAATAAAGGAAGACAAAATCCATCCTATTATAAAAATAATTATACTGGCATATAAAAGTGTTATTCCAAGAATGTTTGATGGAATCGAGACAGGAATCAACTGTATATGTTAAAGTAAAATGGGAAAGAGAGCTGAGTGAAGAAATCACTGAGGTGTGGTATGAAACATGGAAAGAACATAAGAACACAACTCAGTCATTAAAGTGGAGAGAATTCATCTGGAAAAATCAAATTTGCTACTTTATTACACCTAAGATTAAAAATAAACAAACCAATACACAACAACAATGTTGGAGGCTGCGTGGATGGGATGGATGGGATGAACCACACACACATTTTCTGTCTGTGACATATCAGGTTACATAATTCCCAGAACCTGCCTTCTTTTGTATCTTGGATACTTGGCAGGCACTGTAGATGTAAAGGATCGATACCTGGCTCAGATTCTCCTTTTGGCAGCAAAGAAGGCCATCACCAAAAACTGGCTTAAGACAGAGACACCAAGAAAGCAGCAGTGGTAGCAATGGAAGAGGACATTATGGAGATGGAGAACTGGGGACTGGGGAAAATAGTTAATGTACGTTTGTGACTCTCTGTTTTTCTGAACGTGTATTAAACAGGAGAGGTGTTGAAATAAAAAGTGCTGTTGTTAGGATGGTTGTTTCAGCTGTGATAAACTGACATGCTGTTTGGACACCATGGGAGGGTCCGGGCTCTCCAGGACGTCTGTGCTCTGTAATGACTCATTTTTAGACCATGTGTGAACATGAACACAGAGCTGAGAGGCTTTGTCTTTGTGACTCTCTTAAAGTGAAGGTAGCAGCGCTCTGCTCAGCAGGCTGCAGCAGCTGCAGTGTCACTTCACCTGGGATCTGAAGAAGGAGGACGTGGACCTGGAAAACCTGAGCACCCGACTGCAGGAGCACATAAAACTTCAGCTCGGGCAGCGCGGGGCAGTGACTCGGTCTTACAGCTATTTGGCTTATGTCAGGTACAGTTTCCTCAGCGGTGAGCAGTCTGATGACACGAGATCTGACAACTTACTTAACATCAGTTGTGATGACCTGTTGGTCCTCAGGTATCTTCAGGACCAACGAGAGGAAGCGCTGTCACTTCTAAACCAATCAGAGGAGACCATCAGGGAGAGTTATGGTGATGAGAGTGAGAGGCGGCTCATTGTGACATATGGAGACATGGCCTGGCTGAAATACCACACCGGAGACTACGCACAGTCACAGAGCTACTGCCAGAGAGTTGAGGACATCCTGGTATGTACAGCACCCGTCCATCCAGCCAGCCAGCCATCCTCCATTTCTGCTGCTTATTTCGTTTGGGTCGTAGGGGCAGCAATCTAAGACAACCTCCTCTAACTCATGTGGGGGGACACTGAGGTCTTTCCAGATATAATCCTTCCTGGGACCTCCTTCTAATAGAACATGTAGCATCAGGAGGCCTTCAAAGGGTTTCCTGCTCAGATGCCTGAACTACCTTAACTGGCTTGTTTATAGTTAGGGCTGGAACAGGTGACCCTGAATCCTCCCTTAGTTATGCTGCAATAGGCTGCCAGGGATTCCCATGATGCATTGGGTGTTTCTTCTTCACTCACTATGTGTTAACAGACCTCTCTGCAGTGAATCACCCTTGTTATTAGTCTCTGTCTCTCTTCCTCAGCATGTCTTTATCCTGTCTTCCTTTTCTCACCCCACCCCTCTTCGGCTCTGCCGGAGGTTTCTTCTTGTTAAAAGGGAGTTTTTCCTTCCCACTGAGGTCTAGCAGGACAAGCACAGAGATGAGTCCACTGTCAGAGGCCATAAGAAGATCATTTGTAACCTTCACTAAAGCTGTTTCTGTGCTGTGATGAGCTCTGAAACCTGACTGAAACTCTTCAAATAAACCTCTGCAGATGATCTGTTAGCTGTTTGACAACTACTCTTTCAAGGATGTTTGATATAAAGGAAGGTTGGAGATTGGCCTATAATTAGCTAAGACTGCTGGGTCTAGAGATGCTTTTTGAGTAAAGGTTTAACTACAGCCAGCTTGAAGGCCTGTGGTACATAGCTGATTATTAGAGATAGGTTGATCATATTTAAGATCGAAGCATTAATTAACGGCAGGACTTCTTTGAGCAGTTTTCACAATGAGATAAAGGGTCACTGAACTGTATGTATACCATCCAGCCCAAACATTATGAGCACACGCTGCTGAATCTCTGACACGTTCTTCTATATTACAGTCAAACCATCCCACTGGTTCCTCAACAAGGCTCCTTCCAGAGGTGTACGGAGAACAAGCCTGGACCTATCTTAAGTTTTCGAGGTCTTCTCTTTCCAAAGCCATCGACTGTTTCCGTAAAGCACTTGAGGTACAGACTCACGACAGTGAGTGGAACGCCGGCTACGCCATCGCCCTCTTTCGCACAGAACAGGTCAGTTTCATAGGAAGTATGAAGACTCAATGAATGGTAAATAGCAGAAAAGGAATCCGTCAGTTCAGTGTCAGCGTACGTTTCAGAAGACTCAGTAATGACAGTTTAAAAGAAGAACATTTCAACAGGGTACATTAATGGGTTTCTTATCTGCAGAGGACTTTGGAAAACTTAAAGAAAGGTGAAGAGTCCCCGGCCATCACACAGCTTCGCTTGGCCCTGGAGATCAACCCTGATGATGCAGTCCTGCAGTCCATGCTGGCTGTGAAGCTGGGGGCCTATAAGGAATACCAAGAAGCTGAGGAACTGTTGAATAAAGCACTGAAAACTGATCCTGATAATCCTCATGTCAACCGCTATATAGGAAAACACTTTCGTAATCAGGTAGGTCTGAGTGGAGACTCATCTGTCAAAGACATCCACCATGCAGGGTCGGTCTTGGGCTCAGTTGAAAGTATTGTGTTGCTATAAAAAGCAGCCAGAGACAGATCATCATAACTGTTTCATACAGAGAAATTACAAAGAAAGTCGAGGTCCTTCTGTTCCAGGGCAGAGGCGGAGCCAGGCATTTTATACACCCGGGGCTTAGCCCTAAAGGGTGGTATGCATGTGCGAGGGGGGGTTTAGAAATGACTGAAAGATTTATTAGGCTGTGTTTTCAGTTTGGTTCAAAAAAGAATGACTTCATATAGGAAAAAATATATATCACATGTGCAGGGAAAACAAACCAGGGCTGTATCAAGACACGAGGACTAAACCCCGATTCAGCCAGACCCAGAACTGATCCGGAATTAAAACAGGACTACAACAGTTCAAAATCAGGACTACTGAGGACTTAACCAAAACAGAATCAGAACTAGATGATAGCAGCACTAAAAATCATCACAGACCTGCACTACACTTGTTTTTAATTCTACCAAAGTCCACTGTTTAGATTCAGAAACGTTTATATAATTATTCAGCCTTGTTGTGCAAACAAGCTGCAAAACTTAATAAGTATAGAATTTGAAAAATAACAAATGGTATCTAAAAAGTTACACTCGGTACTGGATACATGTTCCGATGAGTTTTGGCAAACAACCATGTGACTAACAGGTGACTCACCTGCTCTTGTTCCCTCTCTCTCTCTCTGTTCCTAAATTTCTTAACTTTAAGAGTAAAGAGAGAAACTGTCTGTATTTCTTGTAAATGGCACCAAATTGTATTCAAACTGAGCCACACTTATGGAGCTCCACAGTTCTGTTCCTGGTGTTTTGTTGACATCTCTTGATGTTCCCATGTCACAGAAACAGGCTCTGTGTTTTGCCTTATATGCATCCACAGCCGTGCCACCAGTTTACTCACATGGACTCTACTAACCTATCAGAAGCTTCTTCAGCTCAGGATGGAATCGTCTGCAGTTTCTTATTAATTAACAAACTTAGTGTACATGTACTCCTACATTTGATCAAAGTGATAAAAATAGAAGCTCTGTCTCTCTTTATTCTGACATTTAACTAATTCAAAATATATTTCAACATTTATTTATACAAAACAAAACAAGTTTACTCTAAATTGATGTTGTACAGTAAAATAATGTTTTTATGTTTTCTCCCTAAAGTGTAAATATCTGGTTTCAACTGTGAATATATTGCTGTGTGTTGAAGTTCCTCTTGTTTTGCATAGAAATATACTGAACAACATCCAAAGCATAATATATAAAATAACATCTGAGTTTTTTCTTTGAAAGAAGCTCCTCATGTCCATTCTTGTTCATCAGTGCATGACTGAAACCGGTTTAGAGAGTTTGTTTAGCCGTGGAGGGAAACAACTGAAAATATGAAATAAACACATGTGAGCTGAGACTCTGTAAAGAAGCAGCGTTGTTGTTGTTCGGCTTTTCATTTCACCATTTGTTGATTCACTCGAACAGCAAGTAACGTAATATGGGTCAAGTCTGATATCTTTCGTGATTCACCGTCATATTTATATTATTTGTACAGTACGAATGATTTGCTTTGGTACCTGCTCAAACTTAAGCTCTCCTCTGGTCTCTAGTGATGGGTCGGTCGCGAACGAAACGGCTCTTAGAGCCGGGTCTTTGACGTGAACGACGCGAGCCGTTTTTTCTTTCTCTCACCCTCTCTCTCACTCCTTGTGTTTTGCGCTGAGCAGAGGGGGGAGGGGCGATAGTTACACTCAGTAGCACAGGAACAGAGCGGGAGGGAGAGAGAGAGAGAGCAGGGACAACATCGCCACATTAGAAAGGTATAGTAATCATCCACAACTATTTTCAGTTGCAGATGATAAAGGATTCAGAAAGTTTATTCATGCAGGCCCATATGACAGAGAATGTGCATGTTCTTTCTGTTTTCATATTTTAATTTATATTTAATTGTGTTGTGGTTTGCAGTGTTTGTGTTGTTTCACTTTAAATTTGTTTAAAAGGAAAAAGCTGAAAATTTAAATAGTTAAAAGTTGAAATGTACATATTATATATTACATTTTATGTGGAGTGAATAAATAAAAGTATATTTATATTTACGGTGGCCCCTAGAGACAAAACACGTACAAACTCCAAAACACGTACAAACGCAACAGAAGTGCTCCAGGACGCTAGGGGGCAGTGTTGAGCTTTTGTTATCTTGTGGCTACACAAGCCAGCAAGTACCAACAACCAGATCTGGTGTGTGGTAGTAACAGGTAAATGAACTTTTTATTTAATTATTTGAATATATATGAGTGCCTGTGTATAAATACACAAACAATACACACATGCTTTCAATTGTGTAATTTAAGTGATCTAGGCTCTGTTTGGAAGTTCAGTTCATGCTAGGAATGTGTTTTGGAGTTTGGAGTTACGTGTTTTGTCTCTAGGGGCCACCGTATATATTTATATATAAACATATATACGGTAAATAAAACCACGGGTTTTTTTACATTCGTAATTTCTTTTGTGCATAATTTTATATTGTTGTTGATTGTGTGTAGTTATTGTTTTATACAGTTGTCAGTCAGGCATCTAACTGAAAAAAATTACACTTGAAAAGATCCCGGGCTTCTGAAAAAACAACTTAAGCCGAGTAAGCCACGCCCCTCTAAAGTTTCATTTTACCATATTCTTCTTTGACTGGGAGGTTATCCTGTGTCTGTTTAATTCACTGAATCTTCTCCTCTGAGCCAGGTCTCAAAGGCTGTGGTTGCCTTTAGATGCTGCGGTGATCCTGTGAGTTTCACCTCCTTCACTGTGTTTCAGAATCGACTGGATGAGTCTATTGATATGTTGGAGCGAGCACTGAAGCGGGCCGATCAATCCCCTTTCATCCACCACCAGCTGGCTCTGTGCTACAAGATGAAGAAAATTGCAGAGCAGAGCCGCCGGCCCAACAGCGACCAGAGTAACAAACAGCATGTCTCCAGTCCAGTTCAATAAACGCAGCTCAAATCTAACCCTGATTTCTTGCCCCACAGGAGCGGTGCGGTACTGGAGGCGTCGTTGTATCCATCACCTTAAAGTTGCTGTGGAGATAAGGCCGTCCTTTGTCCTGGCATTGACTGATCTGGCACAGCTGTATGCAGAGCAAAGGGATTTGAGCAGGTACTGGTCTGTGCAAAGCTGCAGTGCAGTCGCTCTTTTGTTTTTGGCTCTAAATTCATCATCATCATCGTTTCTGGTTCCTCAGGGCTGAGGAGATTTTCCAGCAGTGCTTGAAGCTAGCAGAGTCGGAGAAAAGCCTTTTTCAGACTGTCCATCAGCGCTACGGTGACTTTTTCTTCTTTAACAAAAAAACCGAGGCTGAAGCCATCGCCCACTACACTCAGGTGAGTTGGGTGTAGTTTCCCAGACTCTTGGTGATGTGCAGCTGGCTTACTGGAGGCCGGAGCACTGTTCCAACACTCCACTGAACTGTAGCATCAGCCTGTTAATGTCAGATTTATTTTACATTTCCACCACAGCTGAAAGGAGCTGTCATAGACTCTCAGGTCATGGCTTCACACTTCGTTATGCTGTGTGCTTTAATACCCACGAGCAGCTGGAGGTCCACCTAATACAGTGGTTCCCAAACGTTTCTTGCTAGGGCCCCTTTGTTTACAAGAAAAATGAAGTCGGTTTGATTTATCTCGGTGTCTTCTTATTTCCTCTTCAGGCTCTGCTGTTACCACCCTGCAAGTATGAGTGGAGACAGTGCGCTAAGGTGAGCACAGGTCACGAGTCGTCTGGTGTTGGGGGATCAGAGGGTTTAGGCCAGGTCAGATCTGGTGAGAGCCTGGTGTGACTGAAGACTGAGGTCGAAAAGCCAGTGTGAAACATCACCACAGTTCACATGGTTTCTGCTGGAGGGCTGCTGGGTATTGCAAACATCTTCCACCAGTTACCTGGAAGAGAAGGAGAAACTCAGCCACAGCAGAAGAAAACTGGCTTTGTGGAAACTTCTAATATTTTTCAGCTGAGAAGAAGAAGCAGAAGAACGAGAAGAAGGTGGAGCCCTGCTGTTTCCCAACATGGAGGTCACAGAGTCCAGGTCACAGGGTGCAGGTCACAGAGAGACACTGAATGTAGTAGTCACTTACTTTAAATACACAGAAATCCATCTTTCTTTGTTCCTCCATGTTTTTTCTTGCAGAGACTGAAGCAGATCGCTGACAGACGTCTGACAAAGACGCGGCGTGATGGTCAGGCGCTCGCTCTGCTGGGTCTGGTGGCCAGAGCTGAGGGTGACAGGAAGAAGGCTGCTGAGTTTTATGAGGAAGCTCTGAACTGTGATGAGGACAATGAAGAGTACCTGTGTGCTGTGTGCGAGCTGCGCCTGGAGCTGCAGTGAAAGCGCTGATGCTGAGTTAGAGCTGCAGGCTCAGGACCGCCGTGGCTGCTCCTGGCTCATTAAATGCTGATTTTTCCCTCATGTCTCTGTGTCTTTGAAAGCAGCTTTCTCACATTTATGTTTGTGTGATGATGAAGAGAAACGAAAGCTAAGCAGACTGTGGTGCATTCAGGTGTTGTAGGAAAAAAACGATCTTCAAAGCACAACCCAGACCTCAGTCATAGACAGGAAGTGTCTGCAGGCCTCAGGACCTTGATGGGTTAAATGTTGAATTTCTTTGGTGACCTCACAGCTGAAAGAAAAACCTGCTGTGTTGCTGTTTGCTTCACTATGATGAATTATCCTGCCATTGTCCTGTCAGAGGTGATACTGAACGCACCATTATTTCTTTCATATTGCTGCAAACTGCTGCACATCCAGTACGCTTTGTGCCAACGTGTCTGAGCCTTAATAACTAAAATGAGGTGAGTGTTTTTGTCTTTATTTCAAGATTCACTCACGATATCCAACACAGAGAGAAAACTCCTCAGACTCAGGAAATAATAATACATAGATATGAGGGTTTGCATGCACACAAATGTGTGGAACTGTATTATTCACAAATGATTTAAATGCAGAAAAATGCATTTAAACAACAAGCAGAGGTGTCAGTGAGAAGTTCCCAGGCTGGAACATCAGTGTGGGTGTGGTAGGCATGCCCAGATATGACCGCTTCTTGCTGCAGCTTGCTCGGCTCGTAAATCATCAGGACGTTTTGATGTTCCAACTGTCAGAATCCTCAAAACACTTTTTTTGAGATTTAAAAAACTCAGGAACCAGTTTTATTTGCTGTCTGTCGTTGTACTGCTCAGCCAAGACATAACACTACAGCTCAATACTAACCACATGCACCAGTAATTACTTCCTCCAAACCATCAGTGTGTCTTGTGACTGCAGGCAGGAAAAGGACCCAAGTGCAAACTCACAGAAATGGAACTTACCCCTGTGATTCCCTTTGTGTCACATTTGATACAGGAGCTTCTGAAACCTCCGTCTCTCTCAATTTAGAAAACAGTTTTAGAATATTGTCAGGAAGTAGGTTGTTTATTGCTTTATACATAATTTGTGCCGTGAAAAAATGAACCAGATCTGTGAATTTTAGTGTTTTTGATTTTAAGAACAGTGGATTTGTATGATCTCTGTAACTGGTGTTATGGATTATCCTCATGGCCCTTTTTTGTAATATAAAGATTGATGATAGCGAACATTTGTTGCCCCAAACCTCTGCACAGCAATGCAAATACGGTGCGATCGGTGAACAGTAGAGACTGTGGAGTGATCTGTGGCCCAGAGTGGTTTTTACTTTACTCAAAATTTAAATACTGCTTGAAATGCTGTTCTTTAAATTATTTATATGAGACTTAATTTATCATCTATTATCACACCAAGAAACTTTTGTTCAAGAACTCTTTCAGTTTCCACACCATCTACATGAATCTGCACTTGTGTGTTTCCCAAATAAGGCGATTTTAGTTTTACTTAGATTTGTTTGTTTGTTACTCGTGTCCAGCAGCTCCTTTAGATTCCCCCCAAAACAAAAAATATTTGTGTCGTCTGCAAATAATACTAATTTTAATATATCAGATACCTTACAAATATAATTTATATAAACAGTAAATCATTTAATACCCAGTACAGAGCCTTGTGGAACACCACATGCAAAGTCCAAGCATGAGGAGAAATATTCACCCAGCTTCTGTTTCCTGTCACTAATTTGTCACCCAGTGCATTACAACCCGCCTGACCCCGTACCGTTCCAGGTTATTAATTAATATGTGATGATTGATGTGGGGAATGAGGACCCAAATGCAGGACTCTTGCAATGAAGCAGTGTCTTTATTTACAGTGTAAATAAAGTTAAACCGCAACAATAAATCCCCGTGCGCTGTCTGACTCCTGTGCAGTGTTTTCTCCCAGTGCCTGTGCTCCAAAACTCTGCTTCCCAGTATTGTCCCAGGTTCTTTTATTCTTCAGGCCGGACAGAGAAGACGCAGAGTGAGAGTGGCCAGAGTATTTATAATCATTTTATTCAATCATTACCTTCCAGAAGGGAGATGTGCACGCTGCTAAGCATCTGCAGATCTGAAGCATTACAGGCCAGATGTGTATAATATAGTCTGCTCCCTCCTCCCCTACCAAACCGTCACTTTATCAATTTTAATTCAACATGTCCGCTACGTAGCTGCAAAAACATCTGCACAACTACACTCGTGTCTAGTTTTTACAACCCAAAGGTCATTTCCTGTTGTTCTCTTTTACCAGGACAAACGTGGGCGATGGTCTCTGCAACTCTGCACAAAGCTTCCTGTTCTGCACAGTTTTCAGTCTTGCTAAACAATCTAATGACCTTTATAACTGAAAGGTGGCCTTTAATATACTGGTCTGTTATTAAATGCATAAAACAAAATGCACAGCAAATAAGCGCTAGAAAACGTATTTTCCTAACACTAGTGTCCGTGCTCGCTGCCCTCTCGTCTCCACACTCCCGCAGGAAGAACAGAGACAGACGTTAATACTCCCCCCCCCCATACACACACACACACACACACACACACACACACACACACACACACACACACACACACACACACACACACACACACATTAAGGATTGTACATTAACATAAAACTTGTCGGAACCACACTGAGTCTCACCGGAGAAACACACACATGGAGAGAGAGAGTGCACAGTATGCAAACAGCCATCATAATTCATCATACAATGAGAACAGGACAAATCAACAACTGACAATGACTGATTAATATTAAAACCTGTAACATAATGTTTGCAGTTTAGTCTGTTACTGTTGCTATTTTTACCATTTCTTCTTGGAGCAACTGTAACACATAATTTCGTTAGGGATTAATAAAGTATTCTGATTGTTTCAGGATGAGCTGCCATCATCCAATCACACATCTGCTTACCTGCATCTTTTGTTTCTCCTCCTCTTCTTTTCTCTTTTTTCTAAACTGAGCACCTGATGGCTTTGAACTTTTCTTGTCCATCTTCCATTGGTTTTAATTTTGCACTCCAGTATGAACACCCATCCTGAGGGAAGTGGGGACTGGATGTCACATGGCTAAAACCCCAGAGGTTTGTGGTCTGTTTCAATGTGGAATGTTTTCCCAATTAGGAACTCTGCAAACCTCTCACAGGCCCAAGTTGAAGTGAGGGCCTCTTTCTCAATGTGAGCATATCGCTGCTCTGTTGCGCTGAGAGCTCTTGAAGTGTATGCTACTGGTTTCCACCCTAAATCGGCGTGCCGCTGGAGAAGCACTGCTCCCAAGCCATACGAAGATGAGTCAGCTGATACGCACGTTTCAGCACTTGGATCATACAGAGCAAGCCCTGGGGGTGTTGTCCGAGGCCGAGAGGGCAGTCAGGACCATCAAAAGTCTTCTTAAAAAGTCTGGTGATCCCTATCTCGCCCTTATGGCATACCGGGCCACTCCATTGGCTACAGCCCGACTGAGCTTCTCATGGGTAGGAGGATAAGGACAACTATTCCTGTCATCCCATCACAGCTAAATCCAAGAGGTACGGACACAGACAAGCTCAAAGCTACAAACGTACAGACAAAAACAAAGACAAAACTACAACCGCAGACACAGAGCACATGACATGCTACAGCGCAATCCTGGAGACAAAGTGTGGGTCTCAGACACGGATACTAGAGGGACAGTCGTGTCCATGGCAGGCTCACCGAGGTCCTACATCGTAGAGACAGCAAAGGGCACGCTGAGAAGAAACCGTTACCATCTTACACGGACACCTGGGGCACTGGAGATTTCTGTCGATCCACCAGAGGCTTCACCTGAGAACTCTGTTCCAGCTGCACAGAGTGTGTCGGTTCCAGACACTATCTCACAGGAGGCCAGCCAGCAGACTCCTGAAGCTGGGAGAAAGATCCCACCCAGGTCTAGGAGGCCTCCAGCATATCTAAAAGACTATGTTTGCTCATAGGGCTAGGAAGTGAGTGAGCAATGGGGCAGAATAATCCCCACACTCAGGCAGAGGGCTGGGTAGTCGACCCCATCCCTCATAGAGACAATGAGAAATAAAGCAAATGGTTGCACTGTTTAAACATGTTGTTTGTAGCTGCACCGAATAGTTCAGAAATGTGCACTTATGCTTGGTGTTCAGAGTTGTATACTTTGAGAGTTTATTTTTGGACATTCTGAGAAGTCTGGGTTGAAACCAGACGAGTTCAGTAAACAAGCTGTTACCAGATAAAGCATAAGGCAGTAGTATACTTTAAAGCGTGCGGGTCTAATCTGTTGTCTTGGTTATATCCCAGCATCACATCCTGTTTAGTAGGGGGGATGTAGCATCAGGTAAATGCTAAGCGGTAGGAACGTTTCTGCTGGGTTGTTGTGGGGGGCACTCATAATAAAGGACACTCATTGGAGTAATGGCGCGTCTCGTGTCTGTGAGTTATGCCTCCAGTCAAATAACATCCATAACCTCAAATAACGGAACAATTAGGACACAAGGATCTTTGAGTTTGGACTGATCAGCATGTTCTGTTTTTCAAACATGCTGAAGAGGTTCAAAAACTAACAGTGAGATTAACACAATCTCATCATGTTGCTTCCATGTGCTGCACACTTGTTTTCCGTCAGTTTTCTTAGTGTCACAAAATAAAACCATAAATACTCCTAAGAAACTATTAAATTGTTCATGTTTGTGAACACTTGCTACTATATTGAGAATGTGTTTTGTCTTACGCAGTGATCCAGGTAACGATCTACACCGCAGGCTGCAGAAGCTGCAGAGTCGTTTCACCTGGGATCTGAAGAAGGAAGACTTGGAGTTGGACGACCTTAGCGAGCAGCTGCAGCATGATATAGACCTGCAACTGGGGCAGCGGGGCGCCCTGGCCCACTCCTACAGGTTCCTGTCTTATGTGAGGTAAGCAGTGCAGAACATTGAACAGGAACCCTCAGCTAAAAGCCTTTGTTTGTGGGACATTCAAAGATAAAATCATCATAATTGGGCACAAAATAGCAACAAAGATGGAAAACAACAAGATTCAACAGTGCAAGCAGGCGTTGCTTCTGTGAAGCTGGCTTTTTACATGCACATTATTGCCAAAAATATTC